AATATAATATAATATAATATAATATAATATAATATAATATAATATAATAACATTCAACATAATCATGTTGAAACGAAGGAACAACGGCGAACATTTTTGTCCATAGGACTAATCGGCCAAATAGCAGCAAAACATGGTATCAATCTGGACCCCTTGGGACTCTTTAACAAAGGAAACCAAGCATCGAGCAACTCGCAAACGCGCGGCACCAGCTTCAATCTGGGACCTCTTTCCATTTCATCGTCATCGTCATCGTCATCTGCCGTCGCCAATGGCGAAGGGACTGGTTTGGCCAATGCCAAAGCGAATTCCCAATCCTCTGCCGGGTCTGGCTCTGCCGTAGCAAACGCTCAAGCCTCGGCGACCGCTAATGCTCAAGGTATTTGTCACTTTGTCACTTCTTGCCAAGCGTAACTGTATCATAGTACTTTCGTCCAGATGTATGTGCGACACCTACAATTCGAAATTCAACGATATTTGGCTTATCGAGAATTATGCTCTGCGAGTAGGTAATCAAATAATAAGGAAGAATATTCTGTTGAATTGATAACAACGTAATAAGAGTCCGATATAGCTAGACCTTCGTTTGAGAGCTGAACGTTTCACAGTAACGATCGTTTCACACCCAAACTCGTGAATTTAAGCCAGCATTGGCTCTAGCATGCACCGTGTGAGCAAACATACGCGATCTAAACAGCCCCGAGAAACGTGATCGCTATTTATTAAGCGTTCATCGGTAATCCTTTTAACGAACAGCATTTTGGTTTCCGAAAGGACGAAGGATTAATACGCTGGCACATTTGCAATCGAGCATCGTGAAGCGCGTGTAAAGGAAAAGTTTGATTCGCCAAACGCGTCACACAAATGGGGGAACAAAATTCTCCGTAAAAAAATCTCCACAATTTTATTTTGATTTTTCTCTGTTCTTCGTCCGCGACAAACGAGGTCCCCGCTAACGATCCACGAATAATTCCTCAGAGTCGTTTCGCAGCCAAGAAACCATTGAAATCCGTATCTCGAGAGTTCAACCGAACGGTTCGGAAAATCCTAGTGCCGTGTGGTGAACGAGGCTTGAATTCTCGCGAGGTCATAACGAGCGTTGCATTTTCTTTGGACGTAGGTGTGGATGGTTCTCCGGGGCCATACTACAATCCGAACGCCGGCGGCGCCTACGACGATGGTTATAACAGTTACAATCCACGTGGTAGTCGTCATCACGGTGGTAACGCCGGTGCACAGTCGTTAGCGGGCGCGAATTACGGTGGGCAGGCCGGCGCGAATGCAGGAGCGAATGCAGGAGCGAATTACGGTGCGCAGGCCGGCGCGAATGCGGGAGCGAACGGAAATTACGGAGGGCAGGTCGGCGCGAATGCAGGAGCGAACGCCGGCTACGGTGGTGCATACGCCGGCGCTGAAGCCAGCGCGCAAAGCGGCGCGAACACCGGTTCGTACGCAGGTGCATCTGCTGGTGCAGGCTCTGGGGCAGGTACTGGGGCCGTCTCGAACGCGAACACGAACGTGAACACGAACGCGAACACGAACGCGAACACGAACACGAACGTGAACACAAACGTGAACACGAACGTGAACACATTAGCCAGCACGAACGCGAATGCGAACACCAACGCCAACACGAACGTGAACACGAACGTGAACACCGTGGTGAACACGAACACCGGCACGAGAGCACCGATCAACTATTATCCATCCGGGAACGTTCAAGCGAACGCTGGCGCAAATGCGATCTCTAACGACGCATTGAACGCGATCCCAGAGAGACAATACTCCCCGTACAATCCTAGCCTGGTCCAAGGGCCACCGAGCTACCCGAGTTACCACAGAGAACCGGAGGTCATCTCCGTTCCCTTTCAAAGACCCGTGCCAATGCCCTATCCGAGACCGGATGTGATCATCCAACAGTACCCGCCACCTCGGCCGATCCCGCCGCCTCATCCGATCCCCGGTCTGCCGCCGAGCCCGCCGCGCAACGACGGGGACACGGTGATGATACCTGTGGTCGTTGTGGACGGCCCACCGTACGGCAGGCCCATGGACGGTCCACCGTACGGCAGGCCCATGGACGGTCCACCGTACGGCAGGCCCATGGCCAGACCGAGGCCGATGCACCGTCCGAAACCGAAGTACGAGCCGTGGCAGATCGTCGTGATCGAGAGCACGGAGCCGCAAGGCCAAGGTGAGCCGCGGATCTCGATCGCGCGACCTTCATTCCTTGCACGACGCACAGGTTTTGCTCGAATGCACGTGGGTTCTTCTTGGTGTCAGCGAACCAAGCACGAACACAGCAGAGGAGAAAGAGAAAGCATGGGAATGTTGTACACGTATTCGTCGGCACCCGTGGACTGCGATTTGTGTGTTGCACCAACAGCTCTTCTCTTTGTTTCGTCGTCTTTTCTATCGACCGGTCGTCGCGCCGTTCCGTCGCCGCTGCGGCGACCAAACGTCGAGAACTTCTTCTTCTTCTTCTTCTTCTTCTTCTTCTTCAACTTTATTTTCTTCCATACACTAATACCATTTCAATGTGTATGTAAACCGTGTCCGCGTAGAGTTCTCTTGCCGGCCGAGTTTTGTTGTAATCGCGGAGGACGGCGAGACGATTTGTCCCGTTTCCACCTCTCCGCCGCTGTATATCTCTCCTTGATTAACATTTATCGTAACACCGCACTTCCTGAGATCTGAGATTGCTATTCCCATCGACCTCGCGTAGACGTGGCTGCGGTAGAATGATCTTTTTTCAGTCCCGTCGCGGACCAGCACATTTCTCTCTCTGTCGACGACGGCCCATTTATAGTCCGTCCAACGCGATGAGTCGGTAGACCTGGGCAAGTTCACGTGCTCGACACGTGGTCGCCTCGCAGTGTACGAAACCCTTGTACGTTAAGCTTCCACTCAGACTTCGTGGAACATGGTGGACCATATCTAAAGCTGGTCCTGTTTTCGGTATTCGACGGCTCTCTGTACACACGCGCCGACTCCTCTCGCTGGGCTGGCTATAGCAGAATCGAAGGTTTTTCCTGTAACATATTGAAACATTGTTTAGCAGGTGGAAGAGGAGGATACTACGGGCCGACAGGACAACAACATCCGTCGGGCTCATGGGGAGCCAATGCCAACGCCAATGCCATTGCCACTGCTAACGCGAATGCGAACGCCGACGCAAATGGAGCCCGTTACACGAATCAGCCCGGTTACAATCAGCAACAACAGTACCCCGTAAACGGTGGGTCGTACCCCAGCGGATCCGGGAATCCATTCTTCGATGGATCGGCTCAAGCCAATGCTGCCGCCACCGCTGCCGCCAACGCCGCTGCCACCGCTGCCGCCAACGCCGCTGCCACCGGCAACGGAAACGTTTATCCTGGCCCTGCGCAAAACCTCGGATACTATCCAAACAGTGGTCCGGCCGGAGGAAACAATCCTTTCCTGACTGGAGGGGGTCAAGTGAACGCCAACGTCAACGCTGGATCAAACGCCGGTTCCACGCCGCAGCAACAGAATCCCTTCCTGAACACCGGTTCTCCGGTCTACGGGGTCAACGACGGTCAGACGAAACCTGGTTTCGGACAGATGGTGATCAACGGAGGAAGCTTGGCGAACGCGAACGCGGGAGCAACAGCTGCCAGCAAAGCGAGCCCTATCCCTACCTCGTACCCAGGTCAAATAACCGCTCCAGGGAAGTACGTCGTCCCGCAACCTGAATACAATCAGCCGCCCAAGCTGATCCCGGTGGAGCCGGCTGCGGAACAGATACCCACCAATGGTGGACCAATTTACACGCCGTCAAAGCCAGCCTATGGATTCGAATCAGGCGGCATGAACATCTACCAAGATGTCTATCCTGCTAGTAAACAGGTGATAACCGGTCCCTCTGCGCCGGGTTATGGACAAAATGGAGGCGTGTACGGCGGCCCTGGCAACGGTTATCCTGGATCGAACGTTGGAGGATCCAGCGGTGCTAATGCTAACTCCAACGCGGCAGTCAATGGCGGCAGCTCTGGCAGCGGTTATCCTGGATCGAATTTTGGAGGATCTGGCGGTGCTAACGCTAACGCGGCGGCCAATGCGGGAAGCACCGTGTTCGGCGGCCCTAGCAACGGTTATCCTGGATCGAACGTTGGAGGATCCAGCGGTGCTAACGCTGGCGTCAAGACTGTAGCCAATGCGGGAAGCAGCGCGTTAGACGGCTCTGGCAGCGGTTACCCTGGATCTGGCGGTGCTAACGCTAACGCGGCAGCCAATGCGGGAAGCAGCGTGTTCGGCGGCTCTGGCAGCGGTTATCCTGGATCGAACGTTGGAGGATCCAGCGGTGCTAACGCTGGCGTCAAGGCGGTAGCCAATGCGGGAAGCAGCGCGTTAGTCGGCTCTGGCAGCGGTTACCCTGGATCTGGCGGTGCTAACGCTAACGCGGCAGCCAATGCGGGAAGCAGCGTGTTAGACGGCTCTGGCAGCGGTTACCCTGGATCTGGCGGTGCTAACGCTAACGCGGCAGCCAATGCGGGAAGCAGCGTGTTCGGCGGCTCTGGCAGCGGTTATCCTGGATCGAACGTTGGAGGATCCAGCGGTGCTAACGCTGGCGTCAAGGCGGTAGCCAATGCGGGAAGCAGCGCGTTAGTCGGCTCTGGCAGCGGTTACCCTGGATCTGGCGGTGCTAACGCTAACGCGGCAGCCAATGCGGGAAGCAGCGTGTTCGGCGGCTCTGGCAGCGGTTATCCTGGATCGAACGTTGGAGGATCCAGCGGTGCTAACGCTGGCGTCAAGGCGGTAGCCAATGCGGGAAGCAGCGCGTTAGTCGGCTCTGGCAGCGGTTACCCTGGATCTGGCGGTGCTAACGCTAACGCGGCAGCCAATGCGGGAAGCAGCGTGTTCGGCGGCTCTGGCAGCGGTTATCCTGGATCGAACGTTGGAGGATCCAGCGGTGCTAACGCTGGCGTCAAGGCGGTAGCCAATGCGGGAAGCAGCGCGTTAGTCGGCTCTGGCAGCGGTTACCCTGGATCTGGCGGTGCTAACGCTAACGCGGCAGCCAATGCGGGAAGCAGCGTGTTCGGCGGCTCTGGCAGCGGTTATCCTGGATCGAACGTTGGAGGATCCAGCGGTGCTAACGCTGGCGTCAAGGCGGTAGCCAATGCGGGAAGCAGCGCGTTAGTCGGCTCTGGCAGCGGTTACCCTGGATCTGGCGGTGCTAACGCTAACGCGGCAGCCAATGCGGGAAGCAGCGTGTTCGGCGGCTCTGGCAGCGGTTATCCTGGATCGAACGTTGGAGGATCCAGCGGTGCTAACGCTGGCGTCAAGGCGGTAGCCAATGCGGGAAGCAGCGCGTTAGTCGGCTCTGGCAGCGGTTACCCTGGATCTGGCGGTGCTAACGCTAACGCGGCAGCCAATGCGGGAAGCAGCGTGTTCGGCGGCTCTGGCAGCGGTTATCCTGGATCGAACGTTGGAGGATCCAGCGGTGCTAACGCTGGCGTCAAGGCGGTAGCCAATGCGGGAAGCAGCGCGTTAGTCGGCTCTGGCAGCGGTTACCCTGGATCTGGCGGTGCTAACGCTAACGCGGCAGCCAATGCGGGAAGCAGCGTGTTCGGCGGCTCTGGCAGCGGTTATCCTGGATCGAACGTTGGAGGATCCAGCGGTGCTAACGCTGGCGTCAAGGCGGTAGCCAATGCGGGAAGCAGCGCGTTAGTCGGCTCTGGCAGCGGTTACCCTGGATCTGGCGGTGCTAACGCTAACGCGGCAGCCAATGCGGGAAGCAGCGTGTTCGGCGGCTCTGGCAGCGGTTATCCTGGATCGAACGTTGGAGGATCCAGCGGTGCTAACGCTGGCGTCAAGGCGGTAGCCAATGCGGGAAGCAGCGCGTTAGTCGGCTCTGGCAGCGGTTACCCTGGATCTGGCGGTGCTAACGCTAACGCGGCAGCCAATGCGGGAAGCAGCGTGTTCGGCGGCTCTGGCAGCGGTTATCCTGGATCGAACGTTGGAGGATCCAGCGGTGCTAACGCTGGCGTCAAGGCGGTAGCCAATGCGGGAAGCAGCGCGTTAGTCGGCTCTGGCAGCGGTTACCCTGGATCTGGCGGTGCTAACGCTAACGCGGCAGCCAATGCGGGAAGCAGCGTGTTCGGCGGCTCTGGCAGCGGTTATCCTGGATCGAACGTTGGAGGATCCAGCGGTGCTAACGCTGGCGTCAAGGCGGTAGCCAATGCGGGAAGCAGCGCGTTAGTCGGCTCTGGCAGCGGTTACCCTGGATCTGGCGGTGCTAACGCTAACGCGGCAGCCAATGCGGGAAGCAGCGTGTTCGGCGGCTCTGGCAGCGGTTATCCTGGATCGAACGTTGGAGGATCCAGCGGTGCTAACGCTGGCGTCAAGGCGGTAGCCAATGCGGGAAGCAGCGCGTTAGTCGGCTCTGGCAGCGGTTACCCTGGATCTGGCGGTGCTAACGCTAACGCGGCAGCCAATGCGGGAAGCAGCGTGTTCGGCGGCTCTGGCAGCGGTTATCCTGGATCGAACGTTGGAGGATCCAGCGGTGCTAACGCTGGCGTCAAGGCGGTAGCCAATGCGGGAAGCAGCGCGTTAGTCGGCTCTGGCAGCGGTTACCCTGGATCTGGCGGTGCTAACGCTAACGCGGCAGCCAATGCGGGAAGCAGCGTGTTCGGCGGCTCTGGCAGCGGTTATCCTGGATCGAACGTTGGAGGATCCAGCGGTGCTAACGCTGGCGTCAAGGCGGTAGCCAATGCGGGAAGCAGCGCGTTAGTCGGCTCTGGCAGCGGTTACCCTGGATCTGGCGGTGCTAACGCTAACGCGGCAGCCAATGCGGGAAGCAGCGTGTTCGGCGGCTCTGGCAGCGGTTATCCTGGATCGAACGTTGGAGGATCCAGCGGTGCTAACGCTGGCGTCAAGGCGGTAGCCAATGCGGGAAGCAGCGCGTTAGTCGGCTCTGGCAGCGGTTACCCTGGATCTGGCGGTGCTAACGCTAACGCGGCAGCCAATGCGGGAAGCAGCGTGTTCGGCGGCTCTGGCAGCGGTTATCCTGGATCGAACGTTGGAGGATCCAGCGGTGCTAACGCTGGCGTCAAGGCGGTAGCCAATGCGGGAAGCAGCGCGTTAGTCGGCTCTGGCAGCGGTTACCCTGGATCTGGCGGTGCTAACGCTAACGCGGCAGCCAATGCGGGAAGCAGCGTGTTCGGCGGCTCTGGCAGCGGTTATCCTGGATCGAACGTTGGAGGATCCAGCGGTGCTAACGCTGGCGTCAAGGCGGTAGCCAATGCGGGAAGCAGCGCGTTAGTCGGCTCTGGCAGCGGTTACCCTGGATCTGGCGGTGCTAACGCTAACGCGGCAGCCAATGCGGGAAGCAGCGTGTTCGGCGGCTCTGGCAGCGGTTATCCTGGATCGAACGTTGGAGGATCCAGCGGTGCTAACGCTGGCGTCAAGGCGGTAGCCAATGCGGGAAGCAGCGCGTTAGTCGGCTCTGGCAGCGGTTACCCTGGATCTGGCGGTGCTAACGCTAACGCGGCAGCCAATGCGGGAAGCAGCGTGTTCGGCGGCTCTGGCAGCGGTTATCCTGGATCGAACGTTGGAGGATCCAGCGGTGCTAACGCTGGCGTCAAGGCGGTAGCCAATGCGGGAAGCAGCGCGTTAGTCGGCTCTGGCAGCGGTTACCCTGGATCTGGCGGTGCTAACGCTAACGCGGCAGCCAATGCGGGAAGCAGCGTGTTCGGCGGCTCTGGCAGCGGTTATCCTGGATCGAACGTTGGAGGATCCAGCGGTGCTAACGCTGGCGTCAAGGCGGTAGCCAATGCGGGAAGCAGCGCGTTAGTCGGCTCTGGCAGCGGTTACCCTGGATCTGGCGGTGCTAACGCTAACGCGGCAGCCAATGCGGGAAGCAGCGTGTTCGGCGGCTCTGGCAGCGGTTATCCTGGATCGAACGTTGGAGGATCCAGCGGTGCTAACGCTGGCGTCAAGGCGGTAGCCAATGCGGGAAGCAGCGCGTTAGTCGGCTCTGGCAGCGGTTACCCTGGATCTGGCGGTGCTAACGCTAACGCGGCAGCCAATGCGGGAAGCAGCGTGTTCGGCGGCTCTGGCAGCGGTTATCCTGGATCGAACGTTGGAGGATCCAGCGGTGCTAACGCTGGCGTCAAGGCGGTAGCCAATGCGGGAAGCAGCGCGTTAGTCGGCTCTGGCAGCGGTTACCCTGGATCTGGCGGTGCTAACGCTAACGCGGCAGCCAATGCGGGAAGCAGCGTGTTCGGCGGCTCTGGCAGCGGTTATCCTGGATCGAACGTTGGAGGATCCAGCGGTGCTAACGCTGGCGTCAAGGCGGTAGCCAATGCGGGAAGCAGCGCGTTAGTCGGCTCTGGCAGCGGTTACCCTGGATCTGGCGGTGCTAACGCTAACGCGGCAGCCAATGCGGGAAGCAGCGTGTTCGGCGGCTCTGGCAGCGGTTATCCTGGATCGAACGTTGGAGGATCCAGCGGTGCTAACGCTGGCGTCAAGGCGGTAGCCAATGCGGGAAGCAGCGCGTTAGTCGGCTCTGGCAGCGGTTACCCTGGATCTGGCGGTGCTAACGCTAACGCGGCAGCCAATGCGGGAAGCAGCGTGTTCGGCGGCTCTGGCAGCGGTTATCCTGGATCGAACGTTGGAGGATCCAGCGGTGCTAACGCTGGCGTCAAGGCGGTAGCCAATGCGGGAAGCAGCGCGTTAGTCGGCTCTGGCAGCGGTTACCCTGGATCTGGCGGTGCTAACGCTAACGCGGCAGCCAATGCGGGAAGCAGCGTGTTCGGCGGCTCTGGCAGCGGTTATCCTGGATCGAACGTTGGAGGATCCAGCGGTGCTAACGCTGGCGTCAAGGCGGTAGCCAATGCGGGAAGCAGCGCGTTAGTCGGCTCTGGCAGCGGTTACCCTGGATCTGGCGGTGCTAACGCTAACGCGGCAGCCAATGCGGGAAGCAGCGTGTTCGGCGGCTCTGGCAGCGGTTATCCTGGATCGAACGTTGGTGGATCCAGCGGTGCTAACGCTGGCGTCAAGGCGGTAGCCAATGCGGGAAGCAGCGCGTTAGTCGGCTCTGGCAGCGGTTACCCTGGATCTGGCGGTGCTAACGCTAACGCGGCAGCCAATGCGGGAAGCAGCGTGTTCGGCGGCTCTGGCAGCGGTTATCCTGGATCGAACGTTGGAGGATCCAGCGGTGCTAACGCTGGCGTCAAGGCGGTAGCCAATGCGGGAAGCAGCGCGTTAGTCGGCTCTGGCAGCGGTTACCCTGGATCTGGCGGTGCTAACGCTAACGCGGCAGCCAATGCGGGAAGCAGCGTGTTCGGCGGTTCTGGCAACGGTTATCCTGGATCGAACGTTGGTGGATCCAGCGGTGCTAACGCTGGCGCCAAGGCGGTAGCCAATGCGGGAAGTAGCGCGTTCGGCGGCTCTGGCAACGGTTACCCTGGATCTGGCGGTGCTAACGCTAACGCGGCAGCCAATGCGGGAAGCAGCGTGTTCGGCGGTTCTGGCAACGGTTATCCTGGATCGAACGTTGGTGGATCCAGCGGTGCTAACGCTGGCGCCAAGGCGGTAGCCAATGCGGGAAGTAGCGCGTTCGGCGGCTCTGGCAACGGTTACCCTGGATCTGGCGGTGCTAACGCTAACGCGGCAGCCAATGCGGGAAGCAGCGTGTTCGGCGGCTCTGGCAGCGGTTATCCTGGATCGAACTTTGGAGGATCCAGCGGTGCTAACGCTGGCGTCAAGGCGGTAGCCAATGCGGGAAGTAGCGTGTTAGACGGCTCTGGCAACGGTTACCCTGGATCTGGCGGTGCTAACGCTAACGCGGCAGCCAATGCGGGAAGCAGCGTGTTCGGCGGCTCTGGCAGCGGTTATCCTGGATCGAACTTTGGAGGATCCGGCAGTGCTATCGCTAAAGCTGATTCCAGCGCCGTTGCTGGAAGCTCACCTGGAATGTATGGAGATGGTAAGTTAACGTTCACTTCGCGAACGTTGGATGTAAGAAATTATTTTCATTCGATGGAGAGTTTGATTCGTGGTGTTATTTCCACAGATTTAACTACCTCGGCGTCAACCTCGGCCATTATCGAAGGCATCGAGTCTGGCTTGATTCTGATTAAATAATTGCTCTCCCTTCTATAGGATCGTACGGTTCATCCAACGCAGTCGCGAACTCTAACAGCTTCGCGAACGGCGGCTCGGCTTCAAGTTCCAGCAAATCATCGGCATTCACCTCGGGAAGAGGGTCGGCTAACGCGAACGCGAACGCGCAAGCATTGAGCAACGCTGTGTCCTCGGGCAGTAGGAGCTCAGCATCCAGTTTCGCGTCCTCCCACGCGAACACCGAAGATATGCTGATATTCAGCAACTGATCTGACGAAGGCCACCGACACCACCCGCATAAGGTTCATCGATGAAGCATCCCGATACCATAGACGTGCCATCGCTCCTAAGGTCTTAGATAGGTTCCCTCGACATACGAGAATATGATTTTTATAATGTTTTTGTAATTCGTGTCTCAGACTGTCTGTGCACATCTGGCGACGCGTCGAGTGACGTAGGAATCGACGAGAAAACGCTGAATCGCGTATACTATTAACGGTCAGATAATAGTTTACGCGTCTCGACGTAATAAATATTTCGACGCTTCGTACATAAGTCTTGCGTAATGTTTTACTGCGCTTCGTCTACCGGATGGAGATTATCTTCTGACGAAGCCGGGTTCCGTCGACACTCGATTTGTAAATACCTCGAACGTTTCAACCGATGATTTTCTTCTTTTTTTTATTTTTTATTAATCACTGACAGACGAAAATTTCGTGGCGAATAGTGAATATTATTAGCTGGCAGCTCCTGGTATCATTCTTGCCAATACACGGCGACGTCGAGATTGTTATTATGTACTTCCAGTAGTGTTCCGTCAAATGATCGGGGGTTGTTATTAGGCGCTTTCTTTTTTAAATAGCTTCGCTTCGAGCACTTTTTACATGATCTTCCGAGGAGATCAAACGCATGAGTAATACTCTGACTCATTATACTATACTCATTATATATTATATTACTATAAGTACACAGCTATTGCGAGAGTAGCGTGCGAGTAGATTGTAAAGTTAGACGAATTTTCCCAATGTTCGTTGGTTCGGAATAAAATCGTTCGCTCTGATTCCCGCAAATTTTATTCGACATTGAACCAAGGCTAGTTTATATTCTTGCGGGGGGATACGCAGCATCCGATGGCGCGCGATATCGTTGTTGCAGCTAGATGCAAAGTTATCTGTAGGTCATAGTGCACCGTGACATAAACAACAAAATTGCGGGAACGTGATCAAAAGCTTGATTGCCGTTTCGATCCGTAGAACAATAAATGAAAGAGCGAAACTCGGGATTTAATGGGATCCTCGATGAAGACGCTCGTGTCGTTCCGTCAATCTCCATTTAAGCGACACCAGGCAATTTTCGCGCAATTACCGATAATCAGTTTCGCATCAATGAACATTTGTTTCACCGTGTTCGCGGAATTTCAGACTATTATCATGTCTTATCACATTGTTGAGGACGTCGGTTCCCCACCTCTATCTTTGACTCTCTTGCTCTCTTACGTAACAAGCATATTACTGCGTTCTCTGTAAGTCGTAAGAACTTAATAAACTATGATTTTTTTTGTTTATCAAATCGCTCGAGTCTTCTCCACTTACACCTGTAAATAAACATCCTTTCTGCGGTTGCTGGTGCAACAACAGAGCGAAGAACGATGAAAGGAGAAACATTGAAATGTGAACACGAATGCACAGGATAAATTGTTCCTTAATTATCACACTGCCAGGAAAATATAATTCTGAAAAACATATTCAACATACAAAAAAACATATTCTCGTATAATATATTCGCATCAATTTGCATGTAGATTTTCGTGAAAAAAAAGATACGCGGATCTGCGAACAGAGAAATATTTGCGGGAATCGTAGAATTTTACGTACTATTATTGGAGATTCGGTCACTTCTTCATTCTGTATTTACCATGATAATATCCTGGCACAATTTACGTGCGCATAACCTGTACCCGGAAACCTTGCCAGTATGTCTGATTTTATCAAGGCAACGCAACGATTGAGGAATGTTCTGAGGGTACGAAAAATGGCCTCACCCCAGGCAGGACCGATACTGAAATACTCAATGAACTTCGGGACTAAAGTGTCTTAGACCGAGATTCGTTGTTCCCGAACGTAGCAAAGAACAGTACATGAATTTTGCATATTTATATCTGACTTATGGTCGAGTTATTCTACTTACGAGAAAATGTTTCGAAAACTTCTGCCGAAACTTGCACATTTGTATTAGGAGAATATGGTCTTCAAGGGGAGGCGCAGTAGTTTCTTCCGGAAATGTTTGGAGGTCAAAATTTAGAAGGAACTTTCTCATATGTCAACGAAAAAAGAACCAATATATTAGACATAACCTTAGGATCGACGTAGCAATAAATCACAGGGCCAAATCTATAGCACAGTTAAAATTCCCAACAACCCGAAATTTGGCATTTCCGGGGGGAGCTACTGTATTTCTATTTGTAACACGCCGGTGGCTCCATCTCGTATTTATCAAGAAGCTACGCATCTCTAGATAATATCATTCATGCGACGAAATCTGTACAGCAGATACCGACCTGCTCAATCCGTAATGTCACGTGACTATCCCTAGCCCTTTAATGTTAGAATTTGAATCTAACGTTAAATTTGAATTTAATCTAATTATCGACTGATCTAACGAAAACTATATAACTGCATTTAAAACTCGTAATTATTAATCGTTGTATTATTCAAAATAATTTAATAAAAGATAATTCGCCTGGACCAAAATATGCGCGTCTTCTTGTATCGTGAAACTTCGCTACAAAACTTCTTCTTCGTAGCTATGTACATTACTTTAAAGTTTACACAATATTATGTATACGCATGCTCATAATACATATGTTCATATAGCCGTTGCTATGCAACTAGTTACTACAACACTAAATTCATTACACTGCGGAAAGTGATCATTGAAACTGAGAATACCCTCGCATTCTAATTGACAATGGCAGACGACGTGAAGCCGGAAGTAATTAGTAAGACACAAGAACTTCTTGGGAAATATTTTAAAAAGCCACCACTTACTGAGAAACTTCTCAAGAAACCACCGTTCAGATTCCTTCATGATATTGTATCAGCGGTAACGAAATAAATATCCCCTTTACACCCCCCCCCCCTCTCAACTAATATTTATACTAAATTAATATTAGTTTCAAATTGTATCTCAGGTGGTCAGAGAAACCGGTTTTTTAGATGGCTTATTTACTGAAGAAGAACTGAACTCTGAGAATATAAACAATAAGGAAACGAAGCTTGCTTATTTAACAAAACTAATTGATGTTGTCAGTAAGTAAATATGATGCCTAATACAAGAGTAGCACAAATATGAAAGGCTCGTTTATCAATTATTAAAATAATTCCAGAATTGGCTACTGGTGCTAATTTGACTGTAAGAGCAAGTAAAATAATATCTGGTCAAGAAGCAACTAAGACAAATGAACTGTTACAAGCTATTGGAATAGCTTTAGATAAGAAGGTAATATAAATTAATGTAAGGTAATATAAATTACAGTTACTGAAAAATCAATAAATGTTTTGTGAACCAGGTAAATAGCAATGAAGCTATAGAACATTATAGAAAAAACTTAGAAAAAGGTAAATCAACTTCAAAAAGTAAGACTATAAGGAAAGAAGAAAAAGTATCATCATCAAAAGATGTCCAACAAAAACGAGCTGCAACAGGCAGAGATAAATCTTCTAGTCATAGAAAAAGAATACCCAATGAAACTAAACCAACAGCAAATAACACGGAAACGCATAAAGATAAAAGTCGAGAATTTCAAAAAAATGTTGAAGTTATACAGGCTTCAGGAATTCAAGTAAATCATTATTATTAAGTATTATTTCTTCTGAAAAATTTAAATAGTTCTATCTTTTTTCTTCTTCTTTTTTTTGTTGGCATAGGAGAAAGTTCCTTCATCTGCACATAGAAGAAGATCATCAGCTAAACCTAAATCCAATACATCCTCTGTGATTCCTCCTGAAATAGCTTCGATTCAGGAAAGTGGAAATACTGACAAAAAAATGGAGGAAAACAAGAAACAAAAAGAAATTGGAAACAAAGCAAAACAAGCAATATATAACGAAAATAATGAATTTGTAAATAACAAAATGAATGAAAATATGGAGAACACAAAAGTAGAACATAAAGAAATTGATGAAATAAATCATGAAATTCCCAATCAAAATGAAGAAAAAACAGAAAATATAATATTAGAAAGTCAGAAATCTCAATTGGAAAATATTAATGCAAGGTAATATTTCAAATACATATACTGTTGCTTAATGATATTGCAATTATTTGATAAAACTTAACATTTGCAGTATTCCACAATCAAATACTAGACCAAGAACTTCATTACGTCCACCTTCTGCAAGACCAATTAGTGCTAGGCCAGCAGCACCTAGATTGCGGGGAAAACCAGAACTATCTGTTAATGAAGAAATATTGTATACATCAGTTTAAGTGTACACTTTCATGAAAAAGATAGTCAAAAATTGATACTACACAACTCATTTTTCCAGGACACCTATGGGAACTATAAGTGTTATCGTCGAAAATTCTGAAACTAAGGAAGATGATGATGCCGAAGATATGGTAGTTATGGAAACCAGGGCAGGTGGTAGTGATTCTCTAGAAAATAATGGTACATTCAAAGTCGATGATCAATTAACACAAGAACATGGACATCTTGTTGCTCAAATATTAGAAACACAAAAAGAACTGGTTAATAATGAAAACGTGGATGTTATACCTAAAAAAACAAATATTGTAAGAACACATATATATATACATTTATCCGTTTTTTGAACAATAGTTTTTCTTTATAATGATGTTCCTATTAGGCGTGGGATACGAGTTCAAAACGCGACATAGTTGTTAAGGAAGTTGATAAACTTCGTAATACAATTCAAACTTTAACTCGTGCAACGAATCCACTTGGGAAATTATTAGATTATTTTCAGGTATAAACTTCTGATATTACAATTTTTAATGCAACAAATGTTATTAACCTTTTATAGCATAATACAATCTTTACAGGAAGATGTAGAAATAATGCAGAAGGAATTATTTGAATGGAGGGGTCAGTATCAACAAGTAAATGAACAATTAAAAACCGAGAAAATGTAAGCAATGTAAAAATAGGCATTTCATTGAGTTTTGTTAAGTGATTACTGAATATTAATGTAGAGTAAATTTATATTATTTTCAGAAGAACGCAAGAATTAATAGAACCTATGAAAGAAACGTTGAAAGAAATTGATCAAAATATGAAAGTACAGGTAGATAAAATATGTCAAGTAAAATCACAAATAATGAAAAACGATCAAAGGATACAAACCTTATTAAATGGTCGTGTTTGAGATTTATTTTACTGTATCTCTATTGGAAATGTTACTTCTTTTTTTTTTATTTATACACTATACAGGATATTCAACAAAAAGCCTTAGTAAAGGTAGGTCGATGCTATCAAAAATAGGAATGTTTAATCTCGAAAACAGTTGACCTTTCGACCTATGTTTACTAAGACTTTTTTACTCAGTACAGTGCGTCCTATATACTATATAAATATTGAATACTTCTTTTGGACACTGTAAATAACGGCCATGTAATATGTACAGAATGTTATATACTTTTCTAATATTAGAAAATGAATATAATGACTTCGTTTATTTGTCCTTTCATGAAACGAGAACATTCGTACAAAATAAGACAACTTAAAATATTTTATTATACAACTTAAAGATATTTTTTGTGAACTAAACGGAAGTATGTTAATCTCTTTTTAGATTTCATATTTAACTTGTAGAGCTGAGACTTCATTTAATGGTACTCTTTCTATTACTTTGCAATGCTCAAAAAGTATGTTTAAATCTGTAAATATACACAATAAGTAATAAAAGAAAAACGTCCGAACAAAATTGAACTATTTTACGTTTAACCTAATGATACTTACTTTCCCTTTCTTCGTTATTCATAAACATAATGAGAGCTCTAAATCGCTTGACTTCACAGAGATCTTCCAAGTATGAAAAAATGGATTCTTTTCTTTTTATAAATTCTATTCTTAAAACTTCTAATATTTCATTAAAGATATCGGATTCCATAGAGCCTTGAAATATTTTAGGCAAAATATTCTTAGGTATTTGCTGAAATTTAAATATTTGGTTGTAAGAGCTCACACACATGTAATAGAAAACTTTTATGATTAATATTGTACTACTCTTACCTTCAAATACTTATATCTAAATTCAAATGATTTATTCTTTCTCCAATTCATTACAAACTGTACAGCTGTTTTAGGAACTGGAGGTATTTTATCATTAGATCCTAAAGAATTAGAAATCCCAGCCAAATTATTTGTCTTAAGAGCATCACTTAAATTTTTTGTTTCTAGTTGTTTATTGCATGTTATTTCATCACTTTTATATTTTTGCTGCATGCTACCAAATTCCACTTCTTCAACTGGTACTTTCTTTAATGATTTCTAGAAATTATAATCACATTAGTCTTCCATGTTAATTTTAGTAACATACAGTAGTAATTTAGTAATGTTTGCATGATCTTACTTTCGAACGTAAGTGGGCTGGTCTTGTAATAGGTTCAATAACGATAACATCGTTTTTTTCTGGTAACCAATCAGGAATTCGTAAACCTATTTCTTTTTGTTTCAATGTAACAATTCCCACATCAGTCGTTTCATTATCTTTAACAGATTTAGAATTTTCCTTAATTTTATTATCTTTGTCAGTGCATTCAATATGATTAAGATCTTGATTGCTTTTAATATCTTTCTTATCTTCGTCAGTATGCTTAATAAGTTTAGTATCTTCAGAAAGTACTGAATCAATGCTTGATACAGGGCTAGAGCAGAGTTTCTCTCCAATTTTCTTTTCAATTAATTCTTCAGATGATTTCATTGCATTTTTCTTTAATGTGACAGATGATCATATAAATTGACGTTATTAAATTACATTCCCTTAATTCAAGAAAATATTTCATGAAAATTACATATTTCATTAATACCTACATCCAAAATCTTAAGCTTCTTCTCAATTTGATCTAGCAATGATTTTGCTTCTTTATTAGAAGGTTCCAGCTTCAAAATTTTTTCTAAATCTTGCTTAGCTTCTTTGTTTTGTTTTAAGTTCATTCTAGCTATAGCTCTTCTATGATAAGCCTTCACATAAGTTTCATCTAATTGTACTGCTGCACTGCAGTCAGATTCTGCAGAATGAAAACTAAAAAATACAGTATTTTGTATTAAAGAATATGTTAAATTTCATCTTATTTAAAAAAATTAACTTCCATACAATACAATTATAAATAATATTAAAAGAATATTTACTTATCTATCTTCAGTTGGCATAGAGCACGATTTGCAAAAAAGACAGCATCATATGGGAAAACTTTTATTGCTTGATTGTAACACTGAATAGCTTGAGTCCATTTTTGCTGTTGTACGAAATGATTTCCCTCATTTTTGTGCTTTGTAGCAACTTCGTGTGCTTTTTCTAAATCTTCTGCAGAGATAGTTTCATCTCCAGATGAATTTGACTGTTCCTCTTTATCTACATCTTTGCATGCTTTATCCTTATGTATAAAATATGTAATTTATGTCTATACATAAAGTATTTTGTACTTTTTTACTTAATAAAAGCTTAATACAACCTAATACTTAATAACTTACTACATCAAATTTATCCCAGGCAGTATAATCATATGATTTAATTCTTTTTGATTTGTTATTCTTTTCATTGTCTTTGGTTGGAGCAGATTTTGTTTTATTCTTATTCTTGCTTCTAATTGGTGGTAATGCTGTCTGCAATCACACAATTCTTACAAACAGAAAATTTTTATAATAAATAACAATAATATATACCTGACCACTTGCTTCTCTCCTTAACTCCTCATCCTTATGTTTCATTTGTTCCTCCCAATTTTTCATGTCGAAAAACTCTTTCTGCATATCTTCTGCATTATCTTTCACTTGCTTTTGCATTAATAGCGAATTATCCATTATTTGAACTTTATTTAAGCCAACCGTAGGCGCGAAATGTCACTTGAGAATATAGGTTATGTTGTCCCACGTTCCTTAGAAACTGTAAATAAGCAAAGATCCTATGATATATATTCATTCATATAAATTATCAAACATTCTAGAAAAGTAATAAATGTATATTGCAATAAACATGCAGGTTATTTTTTTTCTTATGCTATGATAGAATTTCATTATGCATGTACATTGTTATGTAGTATGCAATTGTCTCTGCAACTTGTTACGAATTGAGATACTTTTTTTTATCCATTTACTATAATATTTAACATGAATTCAAATACAAGTATACGTAGTTTAATTACAAAGAATAAAAGATTTCAGATATTTAAAAGTATATACATACATAAATATGTAATACATACATACATACAGTGTTACATTAGTGTACCTGGCCTCGGCACACCTCGGTATACTGAGCCAGCGTTATGTATATGGAGTGGTGATCATATATGTACATAGTGTGTACATACTGTGTGCTCATTTGAAAAACTATACATACATAATAATCTTTTTTTGGATGTGTTTAAACTTTTTCATCTAAGCCTGTAACGAAAATATAAAAAATTTCATTGTGTAGATCTAGATAACTAGCGTTTGAAGGTTTAAAATACATATAGTGCAGAATATAGTTATTGGCCGAAAGAATTAGCCAAAGTTGAAACGAAATTCAATCGTTTCAAATAATGAGTACATTACAATTACAAAAAATATATGTATATTGTACGCCTAGTTATATCCTATAATTATAATGATGTAAAAATGGTTAAAGAATAATTTAAATAGTTTCAAAGCGGGAACGTCATTGAACGAAAAGTTTATTGGTGGTGATCTTTCAATTTAAAAAAAAGAAGAAAAGATATATTTTTCTGTAAATTGTAGAATTGTAGAATATTCGATACGTATTTGCATTCAAATTCATTTAGACTTGGGCATCTGCCATCAAATCGAAATTGACCAGCTTCAATGTTAACTTCCACAATGACGATGCAGATGCCTTAGCGGTGCAGTTTGTCGCTAATAAGCTTCGAGTACGCATCTGCGCTCGTGCCCAAGAAAATATTGTTTACGAGTGTACTGTGTTAATATAAATCAGCTATGCAGTGTATTGTATAAATAGTGAATATATAAACAATCAACGAAGAAGCACAGGCGAATATAAAGCTTTTAAATATCAGCAAGCATGCTTGATAAATACTGCCGCAAACATACCATACGCAAAATATACTCAACGTTTACAGCCTAATGAAAAATATGTAAGACAACGTTTGAATTTTGTTTCCACATATAATATTGTTTTCTGTTTTTAAACTTACATTTTGGTATATATGGTTATATTACTATCTTTCTCAAAATGGATAATATGATCGAATAAATCCTTTGTTACGTATAGATATTTAAATAGATAGTAAGAAAGAAAAAATCATTTTTAGTGTTATACTTTGTATGTATCGACTTCAACTATATCATCAGATTAAAACCTGAACGGAAGTATTTCGTAGTTCGGCCAATGTCGCATGCTTGTTTCCAACATATTTTTAGACTGCTCTCTCGAGGAACATCCCGTGGCCATCAGACAATCTGTTAGACAATAATGACGCTTCGTGCACGTGTCATTAATGCATAGACGCACAAATTGCACAAATGATGTATCTTTATATCGGTCATGGGTTCGTTAAATAAAATGTTGAAGATTAACCTTATTGCAAAACTTAACTAATTTTAGAAACCTTAAAATTCTCCATATAAATAGATATTTTATAGAAATAGTAAGCCTGCAGCGTTCTCGCCGTCATTTAGCGCACTTGCTGCAGACATTGCGTCCGCAGAGGTGGTTTATGTGGTTATTTATAGTCACAATTACGTACTGATTAAATAATTATAAAATGGAGAAGTATTTTCCATTTTCTGAATATTTGTTGTTACAGAAACATTCATATCACTTATCTTTCAATTATTAAAATCATCGTAACACACGTTATATAAAAATATGGAATAATTTAGGCATATATATTTTTTACAGTTTTTTATAAAAATATCGTATTTACGTGTACGATATTTTTTCGATCAGATTTATAGAGAATTATGCTTAAAACAATTCTTTAACAGATTGAAGAGTTACGTGCAAACAGCAGAGAATTAAAACTGTTTCTAGATCATACTTGAATTCTAGGCGTTAACATATCAACTATAGTATCTCGTAGCCCAGCACTTCGGTCGAGTGTTACAAACCTCCAATAAATTGTATGTTTACTCAGACGGCAGTTATTTCAATGTCTAAAGTTATATTTAACGGCAGTGCATTTTGGCGTACCTCCCAAAACTATATACCCGACATTATTTATGGTGCATAGTCCGAAAAACTATGAAGCCGACGGCCGACACTTCACAACTTTATCATAACAATGATTTTTTACAAAATAAATCCTTTTTTTCTGGTTTTTACTGAGGTATACATATGTATGTATAATCAAGATTTTTATTTGTTTAATAACAGCTTTTAATATTTTTTAGCATTCTCGTAATTTCCAACAAAATATTTAAGTATTGAAGAAATCAAATTTGCTTATAATTATTTACAGAAGTATACAATGGATTTGAAATTGGTGAACTTTTTGTTGATCAAAACATTGTGGATAAATTGTTCACTAAATCATTTGTGTTAATTTAATACAATATTTTACTGTATTACATTTTGGTTACACCGTGCTTGAGGTATTATTGTATTATGTAATAATTTTAATAATATATGTAATATACATTATATTAATCATACAGCTATATGTATTGGTTTTTCATTTCTATGTGTTCTTAGGGTCCCAAGAGAAGAGTTTACATTAACAATGAAAAGAAGGAAATTGTTATTTTTACGGCAAAGTTACTTTGTTTTGGATTAAACATTTATTACAAAATGTATGAGTACTAAATGAATGAAGGATGACAGTGACATATCAATATCAAGTTGCCAATTCCACAAGTGGTGGATTCACCAGGCTCCTTTTTATGTGGAGGGGTTCACTTTATAAACTTATCTATAGGGAACTTCTAATATTTCTACTTATTTTTGCTACACTTTCTGCCATTTATCGACATCTACTTAATGCTACACAAAAGAAGTTGGTATTTGAAAACTTATCTTCTTGATAGATAGATCAATAAACAAAAGAGTTAATTAAAACATTTTCTTCCAGAGACTTTGAGCAAATTGTTATTTATTGTGACAAATTTATTAATTTAATTCCATTAAGTTTTGTTCTTGGATTCTACGTATCTTATGTTGCTCAGAGATGGTGGCAACAGTACCAGGCTATACCTTGGCCTGATAAGTGAGTTTTAATAATATATACATATATATATATAAATTATCAAATTTTTTTTATACTAATATATTCTTTCAGGGTAATGCATTCAATTGCGTTACATATTGCGGGAAATGATGATTATGCTCGTACGCTGCGGAGAGCATTAATGCGATATTTAAATCTTTCCTTAACACTCGTTTTAAGATCAATTAGTTCTGCCGTGAAGAAACGATTTCCAACACTTGAACATGTTGTTGATTCTGGTAAAATACTTAAATTAACGAAGTAAATCCTTACATTTAAAACAGTTTTTTCCTAACATAAACATACTAATTTTAATCCATAGCACGTATTGAAGCAACAATGTACTTATATTTGCTTTATATTCAAGAAACTTAGAATGATGTGCCAAATCCTATGATAAGTTGATGAAGCTCGTGACAAGAAGTCTGAACAATTAAGATTAAGTCATCAAATTCCAATAAAAAGTTCATTTTAATCAAGATACATATACACACTCTTCTGGTTGATTACGTCTTCAAAAGCTCTGCATATTGGGTATACCTCAATTTTTTGTTGTATTTTTGTTATAAATTTCATGTTCTGAGAAATATATAAAAATATGTTGAAAAATTTACAGATGAAATATAATGCTTTATAAATTTACAAATAGAATAATACAAATTAAAACTTCTTTATATGAATAATTTGATTAACAGTTGAAATAGTCTAATATTATTAAATTAGTTTTTATTGGCTAATATTAAATTAACATCTGAATACAAAATAAAAATGATATGAATATCTTTATCACATGAAATTAAAAATCACTAGTACAATCACTAATATTGGTACTTATGTATTACAGGATTTATGACATCATTAGAGCTGGAATTGTTTCTTGCAGTGCCAAGTGTTGAGTTCAATACTTATTGGATTCCATGTACATGGTTTATTAATCTTCTAAAAGAAGCGCGTGAAAAAGAAAGAATTCCTGATCCTCAAGGATTAAAATTAATTATGGAGGTACCATATTATTTGAAAACACTTTGTGCCTTATTTAATCCTCTATGTATCATAGAGAATTACTAGTAACTTTTTATCAAAAGCTAAGTTTATTAAATTAACATTTAATGATTATAGGAATTTAATGAATTTCGTACAAAATGCGGGCTCCTATGGAGTTACGATTGGATATCTATTCCATTAGTGTATACACAAGTAGTGACATTAGCAACATATAGTTTCTTTGGTGTTGCGTTGATAGGTCGGCAATATATAGAAAGTAAAGAAAAACAGTTCCAACTACAAATAGACATCTACATACCTGTTTTCACGATCCTACAATTCTTCTTCTTCATGGGATTATTAAAGGTACCTTTTACTTCAATGAAATCTACAGAACAAACAAAAATGTGTACACTATATAGAAGACTGAAATGCTTTTAGGTAGCAGAACAATTAATTAATCCATTTGGAGATGATGATGAAGATTTTGAGTTGAATTGGATTATTGATCGCCACATAAAGGTGATAATAAATTTCTTCTTACTGCCAAAATTATTTTAAAATTATTTAAACTTATTAATATTTTATATTTGCATCTGTTGTAGGTATCGTATCTTGGAGTAGATATTCTTATGAATCGGTGTCCACCGTTAGTCAAAGATATTTACTATGATGCTGAAAATTTAATTCTACCATATACAGAAGCGGCAGCAGCTTACAAAAAGAAAACATATCGTGGTAGTGTTGCCCACATGACGTTAGTATTTCTAGTCATTTTTACGAGAAATATTAAAAACAATTTTTTTAGATGCTACTCGTATATGCCACTTATGGTTACAGAGTTCCAGAAGAAAAGCAAACAATGTTTTTACCAGATGTTATAGAAGAAGATGAAGAAGAAACAAAACAATCATTACACATGTCAAGTATGAGTCTGGCCACTCATGCTAATAATAGTCCAACATGTGAAAGACGGTAAATTTTAATTAAACAATTCTGAAATTATATGGAAACTAACTGCGTAATGATGCCTCATTAAGCTAGATACGTTTGCTTCAGCCAGATCAACTTGCACCCTGAAACACCTACGAAGACTAATCAAAGCTGTCCTGAAACAGTTTTACAATTTGATATTCAAGAACCGTCGCCACAGATCGATCAAATGGAACAGCCACCAAAAGTTTTTACAGAAGTTACAAAAAAATTCCCGTCATTAGGAAAATATTCAACTTTGCGGTTCGATCCAAATCGAAAACCATTTTATACTATAACAAAAAGTCCAAAAACTCTTATTCAGTCACCATCAAGTACGTTTAACTTATCACATCCTACAAGACAAATCATAGATACGCCTATAGTATACGCTGGTGATATTAATCCATGGAAAGAATATTCAGAAGCCTCTAATCTGCCTATGTTTGAAGTAGTAACTCCAGATCAATCCCCAGAAATAGAGAAACAATGTGACCCCGAAAAATTCTTTGACAATTACAAAGCCAATACAGAAGATAGTCCCCATGCAGCTACAAGTCAAAGCTTGGGCCATTCTATGTCTCATTTACAATTGCCAGACACAAATATATCTGCAATATCCAAAACAGCATTAAAGACTAGAAGTCCAAGATATGTTATAAGGAGGCATAGATCTATGGAAGCCCCCCAAAAACAACATATTCAATGGACACAAATGATGAGAACACAGCGGAGAAGAATAACTGATGACATACCACCTGTTGAAGTAATAATGCTCGAAACAAAGAGCTCTCCAAATTTAAATCAATTAGATAGCAATTTAAAGGATCCAACGAAAAACACAGATGATGCAATGAATTCTTCCTAATAAGGGAAGTGGGTCTAACAATTTGAAATGCGTTATTATCAAAATCAAATTGTTATAATAAAAGATAGAAATGTACTACCTTTTGTTATTTAGTAAAAATATAAATTCATGAATACTTTCAGCATTGGTTAAGTCAGGCCTGGGCGAGTAATTTCAACTGCGAGTCACAAGCTCCACTACTACTACTACTCTATGCACATTACTACACATAATAAAAAATGTATCGTTTCTCGTGTCGCGTGAGTGTGTAAAAGATATCTGAAGAGTCGCAACTCGCCCAGGCCTGGGTTAAGCAGTACTTCTTCATATTACTAAAAGTAAGTAATTATGCGATTACAAAATTAGATTTACACATTAAAATATAATATGTGAAAACACAAATTTTTAAACTGTGTCAAGAAATCCAACAAAGCTATTGACTTACTTACCTAAGATATTCAGTATATTTGTTTCCATCACTTCTTAAAAGTAAGGTGAAAAACAGACTAATATCTTTAAAAAAAGACATTTTTTAATCAATTTTCGGCACACGTTATTATCTTACATATTTGGATAGATTGCGTAATAAGGACTCTTAAATTGCTTTGAATTAATTGCATAAACATTTGGATCGTCCACCGTAAATGGTTGAATAATATTTGCTCCCAAATTTTTTTGATTGTGCACATTTGCAATCATGTACTGCGGTGTAGGTGTAACTTGTCCAACAGTGGCATCTTCCATCAACTTTCTCTGTGAATAGATCAAAACTTGTGACACGTTCACATCCTGTTGGGGTACAGAATCCTCCACAGAAACTGCAAATTCAGTATTGGATAGCTGCTGCGCCTTACATTTTTTTCTATGTGCATATAATGAACCTGCATTGTTATATCTCTTTGTACAAATTTTACACGCATAAGGTCGTTGACCAGTGTGCGTATAAGTGTGTTCATTCAATGATGTCAGTCTTCTAAATGATTTTGTACAAATTTGACAATGATATTTCGCTTCTCCTGTGTGCACAGTTATATGTCGTGCTAATGTGTTCGCACGTGCAAAGGCTCTACTACAATACTGGCAAATATAAGGTTTCTCTCCACTATGTGTTCGCAGATGTAATTGTAAATAAGTGCTCTTTGTGAACGCTCTACTGCACACAGTACAAACATAAGGTTTAACTCCCGTATGTGTACGCATATGTGCAACGAGTGAACCACTTTGAGCGAAACACTTGCTGCAAACCTCACAAAGGAATCTTTTTTGAGTCTCTTTAACACGTGTGTGACGTTCCATATGATTGGTTAGAGATTGAGCCTGTGCAAAAGATTTAGGACACATTGCACATTTATGTGGTCTATTGTGACGATCCTAAAAGATATTTATTCTTTGTAATAGTTATTTAAAAAAAAGAAAAAAATAGAAAGATTCTCTATTTTAAATCTTATATTCTACAAATTGTACATCTTAAAAAGAAGTTACTTACTTTCTTTCTACCTTCTAAACAACTTCCCTTATTTATGCTGTCTGAGTCATCTTTATCATCTAAATCGGAACTATCGAATATTTCAGCCTTATGTTTTGATTGTTCATGATCTTTTAGTTTGTCTACCCTTGAAAATCCTTTACCACAAGTTCCACAAGTGTACTTCAATCCGCTATGTGTAGAAAGGTGCCTCTTCAAATTTCTCTTTGTTGCAAACAACTTTCCACACTGAGTACACTGTAGACTTTCAACGGGAATGTTTTCATCCTCTTCATCTTCTTCATCTTCTTCCTCTTCGTTTTCTTCTTCTTCTTCAACGTTCTCTACTGATTTATCCTTCTCTAAACACTGATCAGTCTCATCTACTTCTTCTGATTTATATTCTGGATGACTCTTAACATGAGTTATAAAAGATTTTTGATAAGTAAATTGCTTTGAACACATATTACAAGAAAATTTTAAATTCTTTCGTTGTTCTTTTAAGGAATCATCGTTCTTTTGCCCTTTTATTCTCTTGTCCTAAAATACAAGAAAGTAAACTGTCAAGTATGGATTGAAGGAAGTGTAGTAAAGATAGAGCATAGAATAATAAAATATGAATCTCTGTGATAACACTAGAAAAATTGATGTATACTTACTTGGACATTATTAATTCTCCTTTCTTGTATATTTGCTTCTTCTTTCACTTGTTCACAACTAACTCTTGTTTCATCGATATCATCCTTCTTATGACAAATTGCAACATGATTTTTCACTTTTGCAAGAGTAGAATATTGTTTATCACAAACGTAACAAACATATCGTAATTTAGTTTTCTTTTTATGTATCATAAGATGCCTCTGTAAGGCCACATTTGTATGGAAGGATTTAATACATTGTGTACATCGTATTCTGGTTGTGCGTGATATAAGAGGCTTTTCTTCATCATCTTGTACACTCTCGATTTTCAATGCTTCGTCCAACATTCGTTGGTCTTCCGATACTTCCACATTATTTACATCAACTTTAAAGAAAGTATTTTTATTTTGTTGCACATGTTCATGGAACAAATGTAATTCTTCATGTTTCACTGGACTAACTTGTTCTACAGAATTACTTGTTTCATTATGTTCCTTATTTTCATCATATAGAGACAATTCTTGTTTAATTGAATTACTTTGTTCTAAAGGATCCTCTAAAAGAGTTTTATAATCATTAACATCATGAGAGCTTTTTTTCTCTCCTGTGCTACATAATTGACTTTGTGTTTCTCTGTCGTAGCAAAATAAGTTTCTTTCTGTGTTTAAGCAAAAAGAGGTATCATCTTTTGTGAAACAAAAATTATCAGGACAAAAGTTTGTAGGACACTCCTCTTGTTTTTCTGTGTTCTCCTTTTCAGAAGATATTACACTAGATATCACATCAGCGATTATTGCTGTAACTATACTGGCACTGCTACCTGAGTTATTGGAAGAAGCTTTTAATTTCAGGATTTGACGGAGTTTTTCATCTGCACTTTGTATTTGACATTTAAAATCATAGGATTCATCCAAACGTTGATTACAAGGCAAACAGATCACTGGTGGCAAACCATCTCCTTCCTCTACCTAAAAACATAACATATTTGTTATTGTAATGGCAATTAAAAATTAAAAATTTATAAATATATATTTTACCACAAGTTAACTACTTTAGCTCAAACAATAAATTTTGACCTAAAGGTATTTGGTAGATATTATAATAATGCAAATAGTAAATGTAAAAAAAATTATTATGTACAAAGCTTAATATATTACACTTGGACGTAAAAATACAAATACTGTACAAATTCTGAAAATGTTTGCTATAAATTAATATTTACAACACACAATAAATAGTAAGAAGTTTTAAAACAGAAGGTTGCTTACAGCATATTATCTGATAATTGTTTTGTAATAAAACAGTTGAAGGAATACAGTGAATTCTAATTCGAAAACACAGTGATTTTTAAATTGCATCTGTTCAAAATTTCAAATTAGTTGCTATCCACTCTTGTTAGCTTCAGTCATTTTTGGAGTAAATAGCACAAATTACATCAACCCTAAAACTTGTTCAATAATCATACAGAATGTACAACATGAAACATTAAAGAATGTGTAAACAAAATGATCGAAGTTAAGAAAAACTCATTTTCATATTGTTATTATGATAAAAAGAAGCGAACTAACCTGTACGGAAGCAACAGCCATAAGTTTCCGAGGAATAGCGTCTCCATTTCGAAATAGTTCACAAATTTCAGCAGCTCCTTTTAAACAAATTCGACACTTGTCTTCGTAAATCTTCTCACACGTATCAATTTGCTGATCCTTTTTCGAAATTTCCATTTTAATGCATTTGGAAGTCAAGCTAAGACTCGAACTCCCCTCCTCGGAAGCCGAGGATGTTTTTGACATTTTTTATACCGAATGGATTTATTATGTATCATAATCCAGCTTTAGCTATGTATCTGTGAAATTGTTACAAAAGGATTTGGTAATTCATCGATTTTTAATATCTAAAAGTCGAATCATTAGATAGTGTATCATATTTTTCTAATAAAAGAATAATTTGATCGTTAAAAAGTAAAGTGATTATAAGACGCGTTATGATATTGTGCATTGTACATACGTACAGTTGGCTCTAATAATTACTGTCAGTCAATTAGTAAAATCTAAGTCATTTCATGACAATGTTTGACAAGAAATTAGTGTTACGCGATATATATACATATATTCAGATTACCATGAATTATTTTTGGCTTGAATATTTAAAAGAATTTGCGTTAAGCTATTTGTTGATTCAACTACTCAGTAATGTTTTTGTTATCAACTGAATATCCTTCACATACAACTTTGTGCAGTGATCTTAATCTTTTTTATAATTTCTCTGGTACCACATGAGCACATATAATTTCCCACTAACCTCTGTGTATAGTCTACAAGAAGCAATAAATTATTTCTTCATCTTGAAAAAATAAACGTACAAGTCTATAAATACGTTATAAAAGACATCAAGGTAAACAAATGTCACATTATGATCTGAAATACTTCTCATTTTTTATTTGTTTGAATTTATTACTCAAGTGCAGTTAATGTTACAGTAGATTTTGAGTATAGA